AAGGTATCATCATATCGCTATTCATATATTACCATATTTTACGATTTATCAATGTATCGATAATCAAAGCTTACAATATTTTGCAATGCACTAATGTCTCGCTAATTATATTTTACGATATTTTTCCATGTATCTATTGCATTAAAGGTAAAATAATTCATTATTATTTTCGAAATTAATTACTACCAATAATTAACTACAATATTATCTTTAAAGTATTCAATCCATAGTGCTGACTGACACAATTTATTGTTTATTTATTTTTTTACTCTTTTCAAAAACGAGTAAATGGGCATTCCATTCAATCAAAAATAATATTTATTAAGTTTCAAACATTCTGACAAACTAAAATTAATATTTCATGAAATATTTTGTTTAAATTTTTATTTGTAAAATTTGAAAAGACATTTCGAAGTTTTCTTAAGGATTTAAAAGCAAACAAACTTAAATGATATAAATAATTTCTCCGTTTTTATTCGTTTACTTAGTTATTGTATGAAAAAGATGACAACGGATTTTCTTTAATAAAAAATAAGTCGAATTTCTTTCGATTCTGAGACAAAATAAAATAGCAAAACAACTACAGAAATGACAAAGGAAATATCCTTTATCCTCACAACGATCAAATAGAGAGTAGATCTTCCCTTTTTTTCCTCAAAATCCTGTTATTGACATTTTTTTCTCTTATGGCGTTAGAGTTTTGAGTAAACTTTAAATGCACGAGAGACCGGTCAAAAACGCAAATACCTTATATGCGTTGTTATTGAATTCGTATAAACTCTATTATTATCTCAGCATATTTAACTTAAAATCATATCTCAGAAATATTTTGACTGGCATTTCATTTAAAGGGAAAATATTACAACTCAATTATAAATTGCGAAGTTACTTTCTGCAAGGGGAGCTGGAAATCTCCATTCAATTTAAAATTTTATTCATTATTTCATCATTTTTAGAAACAAACAAGCCAAAAATACAAAACATTTAAAATATTTTTGGATATTTATCAATATCGGAGTAATAAGAAATTTTATTTTATTATAGCCATGGTGCAAACTGGTACGTAGCACAAAATTTGAAACGCAATTGCTTACGTAACAGTTTTAAAATAAATATGATATTTAGGTTGAATCTATTTTATAATATTTTTGTAGCAACCCTAAAACTCCAGAAACTTCTGAGAGATGTTGTTCACTATCTGGACAAAAATACCCAGTCACCCTAGTAAAGCTTCATGGCGTGGGGTGTTTTTCTTAGTTCGGCTTAGGTCTTATAGTTCTTGTAGCTAGAATCATGATTTCTTTCAACATGCGGTTCGTTCAACTCAATGGAAATATTTCGGAAAAGGTGAGTTGTAATTCAGCCAGAAAACTGCTCTACTCACATATCGGGTCTTGCGCAGTCATGGTTTGGCCGGATGCGAGTTATAAAGTTAGACTGGTCTTTTTAAAGCCCCTATCTATTCCCATGGCGTGGAATTATTATGCAAATTACGTACTCAGCCAAATTGAACATTCTTATCCGTACTGTCAACACTAACTTCAGTTATGATGTACTCCTGGAAGTCAATTCCTATGGCAATCTATCAAAAATGGACGGAAACTTCCCCAGACATGTGCATTGATGGAAAATAGTAGCCAACGTCATTTAATATTTGTTTCAAATATTCTCAGATTTCGTAACACTGAGTTCGAAGGACGTTTGAGCAGATAGTGCATTAGTGTTAGAAGATCTAAAAGACCACAAAAGTGAGAAAGCCAATTTTTGAATGTCGTTAGTATAAGTACTTGAGTTAGCGTACTTGATAAATGCAATTGAAACTTGATAATTGTTATGTTATAACGCACACTCGAAGTTTACAGTATGAAACGCTAAGAATACCGAACTTCAGTGGAGCATTAAATGTGAAACACAATTGAGTTCGTTAATGTATTTAATTGCAACAATGTCGAAATGTTTCATAGTGAGATCCACTGAAGATTCTACAGGTTTGAAATTAATTTTTCAGAACATCCCACAGAAGGAAACCTTTGCTACATGCATCAATTGGACTAAGGGATAGCTAATAAAGATCAGTTTGGGTTGACTTTTGGAGATTCGAGCCGGTTCGTGCCCGAAGACTTTTAAACCGACCCCACCCAAGCCGGGTCTCCATGGGATTAATAAGAGCCCAAGTTTACTCGAGCCCGAGATATATGTCGAATTGCTGTCTTGCTACTCGACCTTTGATGACTAAATAAAGAAATCAGTCATTAAAAACTTTTTTTATCACCAAGTTGTAAAACAAAAAGCGAAGAGAAAAATCTTAAATTGAGGAATGAAAAATGTTGAAGAATCGTTAACAGCAGCAAACATTTAAGTTTTTACAGCGCTCCAATATCTGCTTGTAAAATAATTAATTCTGTAAGATTCCCAAATGTAAGTATAATGTCTGTTAGATTCCTGTCTAATGTCTGTATGATTCCCAATAAGAAACTCTCTTTGAAAATCGTTAGTTATAAGAATTTATTTTTCTTTTGCTCTGCTTTATTATGCAATAATATATTCGTAAATTAGTAGAAACTGTTTACTACTTTACATGTATCATGAAATTGTATCATGAAGCTGAGCTCGTTCTAGACTGTAACCTATTTTTCACTAAACGAGCCCGTCTCATTTCTAGCGCTTAGCGTCACCGACTTATTAGGGTTAGTGTAATGGGATTAAAAGCTCCAGCAATGGATGCGCACTCACATTCCCTGTTATAGGCCGCCATTACATATCCTTGTAACGCGACTTTCTTTCACTAAAAGTTCCTTTTACCATTTATGATACGCCCTGCCTAGCCTTGACCAGTTTTAAAGCGTAACATGAATCCAGACTTCCTTCATAGATATTTATATTTCAAAAGCGTATGAATGGGGTAGAGACTTTCTTAAAGGAAGAGAAATTAGCTTTATAATTAGAACAAATTGCCTTCATCATGTGACGAAATCTTTTTTTAAATTTAATTAATTGAATTAATGTATCAGGAAATCGGTAAATTAGTGAATACTCGAATTAGTAACTAAACAAATGCAAGAATTTTTAAATTAAATAATTGAATCAGTGAATAACATCATGAATCAATATATGATTTTTAGAATGGGCAAAATAAACTATTATTAAATAAATAATTTCATAAAGATTCAATTTGTGATACGGCAGTCAACCACTAATATTTAGGTTAGTATTAATTCATTTATTTACCAGATTAATACTTGTTCATTATACAGGGTGATAAAAAGCGAAAACAATTAATGAATAGAAATTTTTTATTATTTGCTGCCCTTAAGTTAGCTTTACGTTATCAGAATAAGGAAAGTATGATTTAAAAAGTTCATCCCATCAAAATTAAAATTAACTGTATTCCTTATCATTTGGCATAATGCTGCTGGTCGAGGCCAATTCATGATAGTCAAAAATGAACAACAATGAATGGCAACATCAGTGAAGTAATTTTCTCTGGTACTTATCCTTTTAGAGCCATAGAGACAGTATTTTCCTAGTATCTATATTGCTGGCAGAGTTTAGTGCGTTGTGGAAAATGCCCAGCAAGCATAATGAAAAAGTCATCTTTTAACTAATCATAAATTTTATTAAGCAAGAAAAATCATTACTTAACTTAAACATCATAATGGAAAACAATCCTCTCCATAACATGAGGTAACGAATTCAATAACATACAGTCATGAAAATCAAACGAAACAAAACTCCAAATCCAATCTTGATTTTTTATATATATATACAAAGTAACACTTGCATAATGAGGGTACTTACACACTCAAAATTAATACTATGCAAATTCTGTCTTTGAATTATTTTTAAATGTTCGAACTCCCTCTTTCAGAGGTTTTTCGAACTCGTGATCTCTGACTCTTACTCGAACCTTGTTCATTGAAATCCATAGTCTGACATGCGGCCCCATCGAACATTTCAAAATAAATTCCTTTAATTTTATTTAATTCAGTCTTAGTTAAAGCCTTAGTCAAAAAATCAGCCAAATTACTTTTACTTTTAATATACTTAATTTCGAATTTTCCCTCATTAAGCAAATTTCTCACGAAATGAAATCTTATATCAATATGCTTCGTCTTTAAATTTTCAACATTATTTTTACAATAATAAATTGCAGATTGATTGTCACAATACAAAACAGGTTTTTCAATTTTTGATATTATGTTTAACTCATTACATATGTTTGTAAACCATAAAAGTTCTTTAACCGTATCGGTTAATGCTATAAATTCTGATTCCATGCTACTTAATGCAATACATTTTTGTTTGCTACATTTCCAACTAAAAGGAATACCTGCTAAGCATATCAAATAACCTGATGTAGAAAATCTGTTTGTTAAATGACAACCCCAATTTGCATCTGAATCAGCTATCAAAGAAGAATTATTAAGATTTGATAAACAAAGTTTATGTTCTTTAGTATCCAATGTTGGTAATTATAGCAATTCGAGAATTGTGACATAACGTTCACAGCATACGAAATATCTGGTCTGCTACGATTTGCTATAAAAGATAAGCACCCTATCAATGTACGATATGGAAATTTCTTCATTATTTTATTTTCAACAATTTCATTTACTTTATTTGGCAATTTAAAACCTACTTTAATTGGTAACGTAACATGAGTTTTAGGTAATTCATTAAATCGTTTACATAATTTTTCAATGTAAGTTACCGTTTTTGTTCTCAAAGTTAACACCTAACAAATATTTTACTTTTCCTAAATTTTGAATATCAAGTTTACTCTTAATCACTTCAATAGTTTCATCTAAAATAGTTTTAGTCTTACAAAATAACACCATGACATCAACGTATACTAATAAAATAATATTATTCATTTTATATACACAATTACAACATTTGAATTTTTCGAAACCAATTGATTTTAATATAGTATCTAACTCAGCATTCCATTGTCTACCTGATTGTTTAAGTCCATATATCGACTTTTTAAGTAAACATACTTTACTCATTTCACCTTCAATTTCAAAACCTGGAGGTTGCTTCATATAAATTACCTCACTAAGATTTCCATACAAATATGCAGCTTTCACATCTAGCTGTGCATATTTCCAACATAACATAGACACAAGAATAATAAATAGTAATCTAATAACAGAAAAATTCACAACTGGTGAAAATACATCAAGGAAGTCTACACCATGCTGTTGTCTAAAACCTTGTGCTACAAGTCTAGCTTTGTATTGTTTAACATTATTGTTTTCATCTCTTTTTACTGCATAAACCCACCTATTTCCTATTACTTCAGCATTGGGAGGCTTATCAACTATTTCCTATACCTTTCTTTCGTTCATAATATTTAACTCTTTTTCAAATTGCCTTATTCCAATGATTTCTTTCTGGTAATTTTTGAGCTTCAGAAAAGTTTTTCGGTATTTCTACATTATATACCTCACCTTCAAATATATCACTTATCTGATTATCTACAAAAGAATTAGATGGCGAATCTTCACTTTCGCTATCAGTGTCACTATGGGAAGAAGTTAAATTTTGAGTTTTGCTTAAAGCTTTAAAATTAAATTTAGAATGATTTGAATGAACTCAATTTGGTTTTTATCGCAATATTCTTTAGCTTGGTTGTTTGATCTCAATCTGGTTTTATCGCTTGGAGGGTAATAGTAAACATCTATTCTGCTACTTTTATTACGCGGTCTCTCAACTCTAGTCCATTCTGTTATTTTTAAAGGTTTTAATTTTAAATCTGGAGATTTAGCATGAACCTTATCTATCTCATTTCCATTATTATCAAAATTGATGTCTGAATTCAGATTTATAAATAAAAAGTTTTCATTACTAGGTTTACCAAATAGTGTTTTAACTCCGTTTTTACTTTCATCAATTTTTACGTGTATAGTTTCTATAGTTTTCCTATCTTTAGGCAAGTAAATTCTATAACCTTTAGTATTGACTGCATATCCAGTTACAATTCCTACTTTTGCATTTGGTTGTAGTTTGTTTCTCTGAACTTTAGGGATATGAGCATACGCTAAAGATCCAAATACTTTGAAATGTTTAACTGACGGTTTATAACCATAGAAAATTTCAAACGGTGTTTTACCTTCCAGTAGTTTGTGTTCACTACGATTCTTTACGTGAACAAAACAATGCAGTGCTTCTGCCCAAAATCTACCTTTTAAACCACTATCGGCTAACATTGAGCGTATTCCCTCTCCAGCTACTCTGTTATAAGATTCGGCTACCCCATTTTGTTCTGGAGTGTATACTGAAGTTCTCTCCATACGTATACCTAATTCATTAAGAAAATCTTGAAATTTTACATTACAAAATTCCATGCCGTTATCACACCTTACAGATTTAAGTTTAACATTTAACTGTCTTTCATATTTTGCTAAATACAGTTTAAAGCAATTAAAAACTTCATGTTTATGTTTTATAGTAAAAATTTCAACATAACGAGAAAAATCATCTATTACAGATACGAAATATTCAGCTCCGCCAACTGAATTTACTGGACTTTTACCCCAAACATCCATATGTACTTTCTCTAATACACTTTTAGTCATTATACCATGATTTACTTTAAAACTAGTTCTAGTCGATTTAGTTATTTTACAAGTATTACAAGTATCAAATTTACCACACAAATTATCTAAACCATTCACAACATTGTTTTGACTCATATGATTTAACATTCCAATATTTAAGTGGCAAAATCGTCTATGAACCAATTCCCTATCTAGACCTGTACTAAATGCTAATTCTTTAGTTACTACCACTTTTTCAACATAGCCTTTAAGTATATACAACTTATCAATTCTAGGTACAGTAAATAAATAATTATGGTTTTTACCAAATACAGTCATTTTGTTGTTACCCCATTTTACAGTAATCCCTGCTAAATCCATATTCGAACCGCTTATTAAATTTCTACGCATATTGGGTGCAAAATATACATTTTCTAATTTTATGGGAACAAATTTATCTCTATCTTTAACATTAAAATGTATATCACCAATACCAAAAATATCAGACTTACTATTTTTATCTCCAACAAGTACTTGACTAGGATTCAAAGTCTTGAAGTTACTAAAGTAGTCTCTTTGTGTACAGAAGTGAGCTGTGCTGGCAGTGTCAATCAGGAATTCAACAAACTGCTTGTCTTTCCTTTGGCGAATTTCAGCATCTCTTATCGTAGTCAAATCACTGTAAAAAGTTTCCTTGGAATCTTGAGTTTTAGAATTCCGTTTCGTGGTTTTCTTCTTCAGGAAACATCTTTCCGCACTATGTCCTTTCTTATTGCAGTAGGAACACATAATTGTTGTTGTTGTATCATTGCCCAGGACGCGACCACTGCTTTTATTTCCATTCAACTTCCGATAGGCTTGCTTTCTAGTAGATGAAGTAGTATAAGCATCGGCGACTATGTCCTCTCCTCTGTCTTTCTGCTTTTGTTGTATCCTTCCAGATTCGATTAGGAGCTCCTTTTCAACATTAGAAATCGAAAAATCTTTATCTTCTAGTCGATAAAGCATTTGAACTAAGTTGTCATAATCTGCTGGCAATCTTCTAATTAATTGGAAACATGTGAGCTTTTCTGGCATTTCAAAACCTGCGTCATGAATCTGTTTCCTTTTTTCATTTACTAACTTGCAGAAAATGCCAATAGTCTCCTTCTCTGGATCAAACTTCAATTCAAAGAATTCATCAATAAGTCCGGCTAACCGTGCTCGGGAGGTAGGTTCAAAGTTTTCCTTCAAAATAGTCCACGCTGTCTTTCCGTCCTCTGTGTCGGCTATCAGCGGTTGAAACTGCTCATCAATTCCTTGGAATATAGTAGAGTAACTTCTAGCTTTTCGCATTTCATAAGAGCGTAAGTCTCTGTCTGTTGCATCAGTTGGTAATGGCTTCTCTGTACCACCAACAAATTCCCAAGAGCCTTTATCGATGAGTAATACTTTCATATTTATTTTCCAACTACTGTAATTGAAACTGTTTAGCTTTGTAAATCCCAATATGGAACTGCTGTCACTTTCGGCCATCTCCAATCTGTCTACACGGCCCCAGTAGCTTTATAATAAACTTGCTTCTAAAGACGACAAAAGCTTAACTAAGCTGGGCAGGCATGGCCCATAACCTTGCTGGCAGAGTTTAGTGCGTTGTGGAAAATGCCCAGCAAGCATAATGAAAAAGTCATCTTTTAACTAATCATAAATTTTATTAAGCAAGAAAAATCATAACTTAACTTAAACATCATAAAGGAAAAACAATCCTCTCCATAACATGAGGTAACGAATTCAATAACATACAGTCATGAAAATCAAACGAAACAAAACTCCAAATCCAATCTTGATTTGTTATATATATATACAAAATAACAGTTGCATAATGAGGGTACTTACACACTCAAAATTAATACTATGCAAATTCTGTCTTTAAACTATTTTTAAATGTTCGAACTCCCTCCTTCAGAGGTTTTTCGAACTCGTGATCTCTGACTCTTACTCGAACCTTGTTCATTGAAATTCATAGTCTAACATATATAATAACTGTGCTGTATTAATACGGTCAGTTTTTGTAGATATCGAGTATACAAATATAATATTTTGTATCTGTCTTAGTGTATTTTCAACCAGTATTGTGGCATTAGAAAATGGTGGAGACCTACACTCAGATGGCTTGATAACTTGATTGGCTTGAAGATGATTTGAAAACTTTAAAAATAATTAATTGGAAAAAAGAAACAAGCATTTAGCAAACTTTGTTGGGATTGCCTTAGCCTGCTCGGGGCTGTAGTACCAAGAAAAAAAAAGTAGTGTATTTGGTGCGTTATGAAATTACACCAATTACCATAATGCTTGTAGTTCCTATTACGAAATCTTATCAAGCATCATTGGCAACAATAGTAGTATGGCAATTTTTCATCTTTCCCCTAAAAGAACTAGTATCCTTTTTCCTTTAATTTTGCTTTTAAATCATAATTATTGCCTTGTTTCAATTACCAGGCGCGAGCGTTACGGGAAAGGATTTTTCATAATCTAGGAACGTGTCCGCGTCTGGAGGTTGTACCTTTTACCAAAATTACTTAAGCATCGTTGGCATCAAAAATGATATAATAATTTTTAATCTTTCCCCAAGAATTAGTACCTTTTCTCCATTAATTTTGCTTTTTAGCATATAACTTATTATTTCATTTTGTACCAATTACCAAAATTAATTAATCATCATTGGCATCAATGGCCATTTGTCATTGACCAATGGCACTGACCATGATCATGGTCATGTTCATTGCATTGGTCGTATTCATGGCATTGGTTGTTAGACAATAGCGTATGGCGAGATTTTTAACTTCTCCCCTAAACAAATACCTTTCCGCTGTTAATATTACTATTTAATGCATAGTTTACATTTTTGTTTCAGTTATTACCTCTTATCAAAATGAATTTAGCATCACAAAAGTTTGATGATGTTTTTCGTTTCTCCTGAACGAATTAATATCCTTTCTCCTCTAGTTTTACTTTTCTGCACGTAACTTAATTATTTTAGTTCAGTTTTCATTAATTTTAAGACATCGGTAATATTTTATAATCGGGGGTTTCCACTATCTTTGGCGATTTAAAATAGCAATATATATGAAAATAAAACAAAACCAAACACATAAAAAAGCTTTGAAGGATTTTCAGGTTCGAGAGCCTATTATGCTCCTTTCGCCCATTGTCCCAAATTTTAGGGAGCTAGCACAAATGGTTCTACAGTTATAAGAGCAGCGCAGACACACCCACATAAACTGTTCATTTTATTTATATTAATAGTTTAGGTTTTAAATTATCTTATGATTTTTTAGTTTCAAATTTAAACTAATTAATATTTTTTAAAAATGATGAATCATATTTCATATTTTAAAGTAGTTATTCCATTTAATAAATTGTAAAAAGATGCAAAATACAAAATTGACCTCAAAGAAAACTCAAAGGACTTCGAATCAAATAATTAAGGAAACTACTATTACGCTTAATAAAAGGAAGATTTATTAACTCAAAAAAAAAATTATAGCATCGCCGTTCCAAAAGAAAAATCTTAAATTCTCTCAAAAACTATTTACATTCTAAGCTATCACCATGGCAACCACAAAACTCTTCTCGGTGCCATCTATAAACTAATATATAATAAGTAAATGATTTAACAAAAAATACGATGCGCTTAAGCACATAATATTTTACAAAATTGACTTCACCCGGATATAACAAGAGTCCTAATGATCCTGACATTCTATACTTTTGAATAAAAAAGTAATAATGGTTGCAAATATTTTCGCTCATTAATAATATATTTATTCATAAATATATATTAACTTGTAAATGACTGTATAATATTAAATGCTATAGTGTCGTCAAGTTACTTCGTATTTATTCATCCAAAATCGCATACTGTAGAATAAGTAAACACCTTCCTTTACAATTGATGAAATGCGGAAGTGCTATTATAACGCCTACATCGATGAATTGTCCACATTGAGCAGTTGACTTGTAATTTGTGACTGCGCCAACATCCTCCTCGCGCTGTTGCTTCTCAGTCTCATTTACACGTAACAGGATCCTGCACTCACTCGACTGCTGAAAGCAACACAGGAGAGTCCTCAAGCACAATCATTTACTTAATACAGTTCTCATGGCTAAAGCTCAAACCCTGGTGACTTTAATCCAGCTCTCCCGGTCCTTCACAAATACAGCAACTTGTGGTATTCGTTCATCGAATTCTATCCTTGATAAAATTCAAGGGGGGAGTTACTGTAGCGTAACTACCACTACGAATATTAAACATTAATTCACTAGTATTAAGACACGCTAGCTCGACTCTGTCATGAGGTACCTTTTGATAGATGAAAATTGGCAGAGTCATTAACTTCTCTCCCCACAGTATTGAGCAGGATCAGCTAGCAGCTTTAACAATTTTTTTTTTACATGGAGAGCAACACTGCTTGTGTGACAGATTATTTAAGTGAACTGGGACAGTCTGATACGCAGCAGTTAAACTACTGATTTAATTCAACATTGGTATAAAAATGTCTAAGCTACGTCACTTCTCTAATCTGTTCCCTGTAGACCTATCAATGATCAATCAGTTATATAGCAATCAATAAGAATACGTAATTGTGATAGGAATACTTATCGTCCAATAGGAATAGTGCAAACAACTACTTGCCATTATGAGCCACAAAATTATTACAACTGATTCATTTATTCCTCTCAGTCATATAACTCAGCCCGTGGCTTGGACATCTGTAAAACCAATCAAGTTAGCACACAAAAATATCTGGCATTGGAAATTTTATCGCACATGTATTTCATTTTTGTCAAAAGCAAATTTAAACAAGATAAATAAGCATAAAAAATCAATATCTACAAAGGTTTATTTAATTATGTCACGTAATAAAGAGTTCCAAAATCATAAAATTAACATTAATTTCAATCTTTGAATTATTGACACCAAATCCATCTATCTCAACGAAATGGGCGTTATATTTTTGCAACATTTAGGTGGAAATCCAATTTTCTCTTGTTATAACTGTGGAGCCTTCTTAACTAACCATCAACAACTGATTAATAAGAAATTTACAAGCCATCTTGGACCCGCTTGGTTGTTTCGAAAAGTTGTTAACGTCTATCACTCCGTAGTGGCTAATCGCAATATGGTAACAGGAAAGCATAAAGTGAGGGATGTATTTTGCAAATCGTGTGATCTTCGTCTTGGATGGTTTTACGAGTTTGCATTTAGCAGATCACAACAATACAAAGAAGGATGCACCATATTGGAAGTTGAATTACTTAAAGAGGAACCAGGCTTCGATGAAAATAACGAAACCAGTTGAAATTATAACAGACAAATTGTTATGTTTAAAAAGTTGGAAATGTGTTATTTAATTTTAAAATTCTGTTTCCACCATAAATTCTCTTAGACTAAATCATGTTTTAATGCATAGTAAATCACCGTAAATTTAAATCAAGTATTATAATATAGCCGAAAAAACTCTTAATAAAAAAGCAATTGGTTGACATGTTTACGCGTTTTGATTTTAAACTTAATATTGTATATCAAAATTAGCCTTTTAAACAAACAATAATTTGTTATCTATAAAATTGAAGCTCTTAAAAACCAGAACTTCTGAAATTCAGAAACTAAAGATAAAGTTTTGGAAATATTTTTTAAAAATATCATTGTTTACGTAATTTAAATATTTAATAAAAATGTTTTTTCCAAATTTAATTGTATTATTATTATTATGCTATTATGTCTAAAGTTTAGTGCAGTGTCGGTGATTGATATTTGCCATACATGGCACTTGAAAAATAAAATATTAAAATTTTGCATCTGTACTTCTTGAATATCAAAATATTTGAAATACAATATTTGTCGAAAAATGTTTTAGTATTCTTAATTTAGGTATAACAATCCATTTTTACTTAACGCAAATCAAACATTAACTTTATTTGTATAAAAAAGCATTTTATAATTCTGAAAAACTTATCTGAAAGCAAGATAACGAATAATTTGAATATTTTTAAATTCCCAAATTATTACCGCCCAAACCTTTTTTTTTTTTTTTTTTTTTTTTTTTTTTTTTTTTTTTTTTTTTTT